AAGAGAAATACTTTTAAAATTAATAGCAGAACTTTATTTACTATCGTATAATGTAGTAGCTTGCGTCAGTGACTGTAGTTGCAGTAACATAAGTTTATGGAAAGAATTGAATGTGAATATCAATGAAACGTTTATTATGAATCAATTATTATTATCAATGAAACGTATATTAGAGATATAAATATGTGGTTCGACATTTTTAATAGCTATGCACCAAAAGGTTCTGTTCCAAGCAAAAATGGATATGGTGTAGACTTGGAATTACAAGAAGAACATTTAAATAAAATGATAAAAAATAATCTCAACAATGAGAGCAAGACTGTGTCTTGTTTATAAAATCGTACTGCTTGCTGTGTTACCAGCTTAGAGGTAAGAAAGAGTACATGTCAGGAGTTGCAATATGGCACAGAGTATTAAGTGCCAAAATCATGCACGCATAAAACAACCAGACTTGTAGGTAGCCTACTGCTTGCTGTGTTACCAGCTTAGAGGTAAGAAACTTAGAAGCCGGAAAACCAATTACTACGGTTGTATTTCAACAACCGTAGTAATTGTTATATAACACCTACTGCTGAGAATGATGAGAATTGCCACGAATCAAACGAACTATTTTCAATTTGATCAATTTTCTGGAACGTTTACAATCGTTCTATAATCGATAGTCGTCTCCATATATATCTTATGGAGGGCTTACTAAACCTACTGATGAATGGCTAGCAAAAATTATAGAATGGAATAAATATTTCGAAATATATCACGATGAATCGTACAAAAAAGACTCCAGAGTTGTACAGAATTAGTCAGTGGAAACAGTTTTACCTTAATAAAAGATTTTTGTAAATTAAGAACTATAATAAGAATTAATTATAGAAATCTTAAACAAGAAAACTATAAAATATTGAAAAGAATGCCTTCTGAAAATGGTGATTGTCGAAAAAAAATTAAAAAGTTAAGTAAGATAATCACATATTAAAAAGTATAGCTCATTAATTTGTTAAATAAATATTAGACAAAAGACTTGTAAATTTATTGACGTACAGTACACTTATTAAATCCGAAAATTCTACAGTAGTTTACATTTAGTAGTAATTTAATAATTAATTAAGAAATGATTTAATATTTTATCGTATTTTGTTATTTGAAAGGTCTGTCATGTTAAAGTAGAGGACTTGCTGTGACGTCACATAGATCCAAGGTCATGCTAACAAATATACGGGATCTGGCTATCCTTGTTAGTTTAAAGTCCT